TCCTTTTACGAAGTAAAAAGGAAGTATTGTAATCTCGAAAAATTTCGGGTATCATATTTCAACGAAAATATCCATTTTGACTGCAATCGAATGCAATTTAACGATGTTTTTGAGTAACATCTGCACGTAAAGACAGAATAAAGGACCCTTTTTTCCCCAAAAAACAATTATAAAACTATTTCAAAATGGATTCTAAAGACATTTTTTCGTGGCGTACATACGTACGTACGTATATATGTATGTATCTCGCTTAACTCAAAAACGAGTAGCCTCAGAAAGTTGAAATATTGTATACTGGACTGCCTTAACATGTGGATGTGCACCTCCTACTTCGACTTTTAAAAATTTGTATACACATATGTATCTATACCCTCTTAGAACAAAAAAAAAAATCCATGCGCCACGACGCACCGAGAAGATACAAAGCAAATTGGACACAATTTGATATGCATACAGGTTTCGACGGAAAATGCAAAATTTTACGTTTTGGCTGCCAATGAATAAACGGTTGTCGCTACAGCGCATCTCTGATCTGCGCAACTGGCAGAATATTTAAGAGAAATTACGATTCCAGGTCATAAATTCTTCATGAATTTGTATTCACGAATTCATTCCGTGTACTCTGGTAGACAGTAACTATGCCTCGCATACAGGTGCGCGAACGATATGCACAGATGTCAGAATTTGAGAGAAGTCGTGTACTTGCGCTCAAAGAAGCCGGTTGCTCTTATCGGCAATTAGCTCGACATTTCAGCAGGAGCGATGCTACTATTGACGATGTTGGCAGGAATGGGTGAACCATGGCCGCACACAGCGTCAAGAAGGAAGCGGTAGGCCTAGAAAAACGACAGAACGTGAAGACTGAGCAATCGTCAGAGCGGCACTCACAGCCTCAGATGTATCATTATCATCGATTGTACGTCCAACTAGTGCTTCAGTGACCGGAGGGGCCACTCATTGACGGCTCACAGAAAGGGGGCTGAGGTCACGGCACCCCTTGCGCCAACTACCATTGACATCTGTACAACACCAAGCCCGTTTGCAGTGGTGTCGGGCTCATTCCTACTGGAATCTCACTGACTGGAGTAGAATAGTCTTCAGTGATGAGTCCGGCTTTGAGCTTAGCCCCGAGAGGAGGCTGGAGACGCCCCGGACAGCGGTGTGATACCAACCTGACTGTCTTTCGGCAGAAAGGCCGACAACCAGGAGTGATGGTCTGGGATGCCATTTCATTTCATAGTAGGACCCTTTTGATTGTCATCCGTCGCAACTTTATAGCATAACAGTACGTCGACGAAGTTCTAAGGCCCGTTGTGTTGCCCTTCATGTCACGCCACCCTGGGTTTACATTTTAGTAAGATAATGCCCGCCCCCACTGCACATGTTTCTACTGCTTGCCTTAGTCCTTGCTGAATATTACCTTGGCCAGAATGGTCATCGGATCTCTCTCCTATTGAGCACGTTTGGAGGATTATGGGCAGGACCCTCGAACCAGCTCGGGATGTTGACGATATAACGCGCCAGTTGGACAGAATTTGGCACGATATCCCTCAGGAGGACATCCGCAACCTCTATCAATCGATGCCAAGCCGAATAAGTGCTTGCATAAGGGCCAGAAGTGGACAAACGCGTTACTGACTTTTTCACTTTGTGAAGCTCTGTCACTTCAATAAATCATCCAATTTTTCTCAAACTGTAATCATTTGTTTTTCTGTACATGATCACTTCTACCGATTTTCGTCCCATTCGGATAATAACTCCTTCTTCTTCGTGCGTCTTTTTTTTTTTTTTTTTTTTTTTTTTTTTTTTTTTTTTTTTTCCCTAAGAGTGTATGTCTACTTTGTTACTCGGCTCATTGAGCTCAGTTTCTTTATTCTTCTATGTTTGTAAATTGGTTCTCAGTACTGTATTTCCATTTTACACAGGTTTATGAATCTGAGTCAAAATTGCGAATGCAAAACTTATTGCCCTTAAAGCTTAATTCAAGTACTTTTGGAAGTATTGCTATTGCAATAAATGAAAGGAATGATTGTGTGGAGGAAAACATTGATTTCATTGATTTATCCCTTGTCGAGACTTTTTCTGTTTTAGTATCTGAAAATGACATAATAGAATCTCAGCCAGGTGTTCCCATATTAATTTATATATCTGGTTATTGCCTTTATTCTACCTTTAAAAAATATCCATGCGAATTTTGTATAATAATTTTTTTATTGATATGGAACTCAAAGCCCCTTCCGAGTTAATTTAATTAGAATATTAGATAGGGGTGGCCTTTTGTATCCTATGCCTCATATTTTAAATGCTGTTTTACATAATTTTATTGTAATACAAAAATTTGTATCTCAAGAGCTTAAAGTTCTCAAGTTCTTAAAACACCCTGCCTAAAGAAATTTAGCTGTAAATTATGCTTTGATCCCATAGCTGAAAATTATGATCCTACAACTGAAAACATAACCAAATCCTCTACAAACACGATGTTAAACAACTGTTGTAAACAAAAAAAAATTTTTTTTTTTGAAAGACCTGCTTGTAAAAAAAGAAAATTATTAACTTCGATAAAGTAAATAAAAAAGTAAATTACAGTTAGTCTAAAAGTATTTAACTTGTTTTAATAATTATGTCTAAAAATACAAAAATAGTACATAAAAATTTAGTGGTGTTTGCATGAGGTTTAAAAATATGTCTGCAATTATGTAATAGCTTCAAAAGTGACTTTTTATAATTCTTAATTTTTTTAAATCATAATTTATAATTCACTTTCAACCATTAGTTTGTTTTATGAAGAGAGACATTATTACTACTTAATTCTGATTACATGAATAATTTTTACAACCGTTTAAGCAGTTCAGATCTCTAAATGCTATGTTATTCATTCGACTCGTCATGACAATATATTTTATATCATAATTTATTTTAATTATAATTAGCTCCTGATAGATAGATATATTTTACTCCAGTTCTTGTAAATGAATCCGATAATTTTAATAAAACTTCAGTAATTGTAATTTTTCTTATTTCAAAATGAGCTATTTTATCATTTTTGATTTATATTTTGAATTGTAATTTAAATGTGGTTTTCACTTTTTGTAATTTCGATAGTAATACATTTTAAAAATCCGACAAATCGAATATTTTTGGATTAATTCCACATTTGTAATGTTACTTGTTAGATCAGATCCTTTAGTTAAAACTACATGCTACTTTGCTACACATGACGAAAACCACGGAAACTAACTATGCAGTCAGCCCATTCACCTAGGTTCGAACTCAAAGCTGGACTCCTGTTCTATGTTCACTGGAACTTATCTATCATAGCCGAACAATTGTGACTCAAAAAAACTGGTACCGTCTTTCTCCCCTTTCTGTATGACTTTTACATTTTAATACTAATATAGACGACATTTAACTGCATCGTGATTATGTGTTCTGATCCTACATTAAACACAATTTATTAGATAACTATTACATTACATTTTTTCTTCGAATTAGACATTCAGATATATATTACATTGATGAATTCAGTTAATCAGTATAATTTTAGACTTCATGTATGTTCTCAAAATAATTAGAAAGTCAGCGAAAATGGAAATTAAATTTTAAATAAAATAATTCGTTTAAAATTATGCTATTTTCAATGTTAGACTGAGAGCGAAAATTCATCGTAAATTAACTTATCCTTATCTTTTTTTCATTAACTTTTATTATCAAAAATTAATTATTGAATCTTCACGATAAGAAATAAAATAAGTACAAAAAAAAAATTTAAAGTGTGTTCATCTATTGAAAGTATGTCCCAGCTTGTATTCACGTCCACGCAACGACAGGTACAGTACTTTTAGTGTTGAAATGAGTTGTATATTCTTGAACGGTTTCAGAACGGGTAGAATGAGGTTCTTTTGATTTTTTTCAAACTGACCAATTACCGAATATTAGCAAAAGAGTTTACTTGAATGAGATTCGTTATTCGTAATGAAAACGAATTTCTACCAAAGTGACTCTAACTGAAATTTAAAAGCTTGTTTCTCTCTACAAGATGAAGTGTTATTATCGACAAGACAATAAAACGGAAACGGGGCACAAGGCCTCAAAGCCTACTTTGAATCTATGCCGGTGTCCATCTTACTCCGATATTGATCCTAAGGATGTATTCTAAAAGAATAGCAATGCGCGCTACAAGTACCACTTAAACAACAGCTTTTATAATTAAGCTAGTAATTAATACATACTTAATTTTCCTTTCCTTTCTGAAATCAACAAACATTTCGGTAACTTACTACAATTTCTCACATTAAATAATAGTGATTGTGAAGTGGTGTCAAAAAACATTAAAAAACGTTATGCAACACGAGGAAAGAAAAGAACTCCAGGTATTCATTATTTCAAAACCTTTTCCAGACCGCTTCTGGGGCCGAGGCTTCATTGTACATCAGATTTGAATTTCTATACGTACCTCTGTTTCTACAAACAGCTGATTTTAATAACTGTCATGTAATCACGTGACAGTAAAACTTTTTTTTTTTTTTTTTTTTTTTTTTTTTTTTTTTTTGTCATTCAGAAACCGTAGTGAGATAAACACAGCAGTTTAAATATTATTTTATTATTTTGGATTTGTTATTTTCATGATTTGAAAGGTAAGCGATTTCCGTCAACTGCATTCTTACTGCAGAATTATTTCTCATTTTAAACATATTTTGAACATATTCCAAACAAGAGATTAAAAGCTGTAAATTTCCTTTCCGTTTCAAATTATTTTGGAAATGTGAAAACGATTTGTTTTGCGTTATAATTTTTGAGCCACTTTTCTACAGTTAATTTTCCTTAAAATTTTAGCGAATGCTCAGATTATTTTTAATTCGCAGTTCTGTTCAAGGGTGCTAAATTTAAAGAAAAAAAGTACGTTCCGCATGGCCTCAGATTGTGGCTTAAACTGGATTTATACTATCCAATGGGCATCCGGCAGACACAGAGATCGAGAAGGAAGTAGATTGCATATTTCCGCAACTTAATTAGATATGTATAAAAAATGCTATTTACTTTAATGATATTTCAATATATAAAGCTTTCAGGCCTCCTTCAGTTTTATAGTTCTTCATCGATTCTCAAGTTCAAGTCAACATGTGGGTTCTCACTGCAACCGCTTCGGTCATCGCTTCCACAGGTATGACATAAATATAATGTGCCTTGAATTTGTTAAACAAGTACTAAAATAAATTACGACGGTTAACTTCATAAATAAATATATTTAACTAATAAAAATTTAATTAATATTTAAAAAATAAACTCTATAATTTATTTATTTATTTTTGCTGATGTGTTTGTTCTCACACTGTGTATGGATTTATGATTTTGTCAAATGCTGTTTTTTTTTTTTTTTAAATATACATGAATTTTTTGGTAACGGTAATAGTTAATGTTATTTAAGTTAAAATTATGATGTAAAATTATGATGTAATTGTGATGTAAAGGCTCGTTTACACTAGCGGAACTTTGGTACCAAGAAACGTACGCTAATGTTAAGTTGTTACTCCTAATGATCACACCCGTTTACATTTGTAATTATGTGTCTTTTGTAGTTAGGTCTCAAGATAAAGGCAAACACATTGCCATGTTAGGACTTACTTTTTTTTTTACTTAGTTTACGTTTGCTTCTTAAGACACTAATTTTTGCAAATGAACAGCTTCCTCCTCTTTTATCTACAGTCATAGACACAATCTTATTTTAAGATATTTTCTACTTCTTTTCCTTTTCTCTCTATAGACCCTTTTTTTCCCGTATTACATTTGGGCCATTTATTTTAATTTTATTTTGTCCTATCTTTTCGTCCCGACCTTTCGAACTCATATAAAATGTACGAAGTTCTTTTTTACTCTCCTCTGAAATACGAAATTGCCCTCTTTCTATATACTTTTCCTTCGCACCTAAGTTTGATTTTTCGGCTATCGGTGCAGAAAGACTTAGCGGGTGCAAAACAAGACATCTGTCTACTTTGTCTGTCTGTCTATACTTTTCTTAACAAATCATTATTCGCAATTATGAAAAAGGTTTGTTATATTCTTTCTGTAGTGAGAACTGAAAATGGGGAAAAAAATTATTCTACATTTCTTTAATTGAAGTACCAATATATTTAGAATAAGAAAGAGATATCAAAATTTCCTCACATTTGAAGTATTCTCCTAAGTATGAGAAGAACATTAAGAAATTCTTGCTTAAATATTGAAAAATCACGTTTAGATATTAAACGTATCTAATAGAACACATGTTGGACGCGTGTATTTCTTCCTGAATAATTACTGAATACTCATCAGTGTATAAAGCATGTATCTTTTAAATCGTGCATAAGGTTATTTATCTTCCAATTTTAGGTTAAAGTTCATTTTAAAAATGTATTATGTAACATTGTTGAACAGTAAAACCTTCAGCACAGAGCTTCTCAGTGGATCTAATTTTTTCACATTTCATATCTTTTCAAAATTCTTAATCAGATTATCAGTAATGACGACAACAGGCCACATGCTTTGAATTCTAGAACGTTATGTTGATGGCTACATCAAGATGTTTCTTTTAGTTAAGGTTGTTCGATTGGACAGTCTGAAAAAAATAGCTTACACGGTACATTATTTGCGTTCTACTGTATTCATTAAATGAATCCGACAATTTTTTCTTTCATTTGCGAAATTATCGTTTCGAGTATAAGGACATTGCAAAATTTTGTTGCACCTATATCCCTAAGTAGCAAATATTGCAATAGATGTAATTATTTTCTTTCCAAACTTCACTTTCGCATTCTGGCGCTGTCCACAGTTTAAAATCACAGCTTAGAACTTATTATCATTATTCTAATTTCTACTGAGTTTTCAAAAATTAATTACTATAATTATACGGATAGTTTCATATTTGAGAAATTAACTGTAGGCTGTGGCATACATTTTAAATAAACCTTTTGTCTCAAAATTTTGCTGAAGCAGTTTTTAAAATGATTTGTCACTTAATTTTTAGCATTTACATTACCTATTTAAACATTAATGATTAAATTCTGATTGTAGTAAGTACGTTCAAGAAAATATGGAATATAGCCTGTCTATTTTGCTGTCGCTCACGCTGAAAACCGACGCAAAACTCAAAAAAAAAAAACAAATACTACTAATCAAAGCCTATATATTTGCTTGTAATGAGAACAAAATAAGTAAAATGTATGCATTTTAAATTTAAATTGGCTTGTATATTTCTTAGGATTTCGTGCTTGCATATACACCACCCAGATGTCCTTACGTTTTAAGACTCAAAATTTTCTAGCCTTTCAAACATTTTTTTAAAATTTATTGCTATATTCGTAGTCTTTTACAAATATTAAACTGTTTAAAACTAATAGTTCTTGGGAGCCATTTTCTTTCTCATAAATGAGCTCAATTATTCTCACTTCTACTTCCACTAGCTGTTTAGCCTGTTTAGGAAATTTGTCTCTAATTACCTCTAAATATTTTTGATAACTTCTTTGCAAGGGAATTTGAACCTGAACGTAAAATATAAGTGAAGCAGAATACAACAGTTGCCATTCGTGCTTAATAAATAACCGTTCATTTTTTGATCTCTCAGCTCTAGGAAAGGACAGCATTTGTGAGAAGAACAGTTGGGAAATTTGTCATTCTGGTATACATTTTGACTTTCCAAACAACGAGAAAGAATTGGACGAGCAATGTCCGTAAGTTATTTAATTTATAAAACTTTTATTTTTTTCGCTATTTTGAACTATACAATATTGAAATTTTACTGTGCTGCTAGAGAATTTTTATATTATAAGTTTCATTAATGAAGAGGAAGTGCGAAACAATGCAATTTTAATGAAACATAAAGTTGTAGAGTCATTAGGTATTTTTTGTAGTCACGCAAGATGAAAAATTAACAACGCCTTCGCTGGAAATCAAACCACGGACCTCTGGAATCCCGCCCAGTGTGCAGAACCACTACACCAAGAAGGCACGCTAGGAAGGCGGAAGAAATACCTTATATACTGCCCCCTTTTAAAGGGCGACTGGGGCCATTAGGTATTTTTTTTTTTTTTTTTTTTGAGGGAGGCAAGATGAAAAATTAGCAACGCCTTGGCCGGGAATCGAACCACGGACCTCTGGAATACCGGCTCAGTGTGCAGAACCACTACACCACGAAGAGGCATTGAATACGGTATAAATACCTTATAAAGTGTACAGACATTTCTATAAACCTAAACGTATAATAATGAAGGAAAAAAAACACTTTTCAATGGAGTCATTATGTTAAATGTAAATTATATGAAGCTAATGATCCACTTCGGTAGCTCCGCTATACTGGATCTCTCTGCTAAGCCAGCGCAGCGAACTCTCCGGCTTGGAAATCTAGCCTAAGTAATTTACTTGCTATCTACTAGCTTGAGGTATGTCTGCCCTATGATTCTCAGCAACTACTATGGTATTCCTAAGCACACTACGCAAAAAAAAGGACAGTTCTATATCTCCCGTTCTACTGTGCCGATTAACGAAATTCAAATTGTGGTTTTCATGTATCAAAAAATTTCTAAAATACCTGTGCATTTTAAATCATTGGCCCTTTTTACAGTTTGGCACTGGACGAGGGTAAGTGCAGGCAGGATCATGCTATGAAATGCGAAAGGCCCGAGCTTGGAGAGATAACTGCACAAACTGAACTTATGCAAGATGTCTGCCGCAAAGGTTCCAGTCTTAATGAAGGTAAAATGTTTATTTATTAGTTATTCTTTTCGAACAATGTAACGCCTGTAGTTCTCGTTTTTCATCTAAAATTTACTATTTTAGTACACCTTATCCGACTATTTAAAAGCTAAACGGGTGGGCAAAAATTATTCTTTCTGTGAGAAGTAAAATCTTTAATTTAACTTACATGTAAAAATTGACGTCTTACGTATTATGCCGTCCGTGACAGTTGGCTGCCATCAAAGCATGAACGTTCAAGAAGATCTCTGCAGTTTTGCGCCAATCATACATGAGGATTTCTGAAGTAACTGACACATCTGTAATCTTTATTTTATATACAACTGATAGTTCAACACTTCGTTTTTGCGCTTATTAAAAAAGGTTTCGTAGATTTCTAACCTAAAACAATAGACCCTTCAATTTTGTCGGAGTTTTTGTTTAGAATTTTAGGAGTATTAACTCCTCCTCGGGAACTTTTCCGATTTATAATTGTTTAGTTGTCCGTATTCAGCAGACCTTATCTTGCGCATCAGTATAGAGTTATTTTCATAGTATATTTGCATAATTTTTAAAATAATCAATTATTTTCTACTCTGTGGAAAGCAGGTTCCAAATTTAAGTTTTTTCCCCCTTAATCTGAGAGGTGTGTGTGTGTGTGTAATTATGGCAAGCCTCGAGGGCTATCTGCCTAAGAGAAGGGATGCCTTCGTGGAGGACTTTCTAAGGGAAACTGGCTCGTATACACGTTAAACATGGGGAAAACCACGAAAACGCCCATGCAGCCAGCCCGTTCAAGGGATTCGAACCTCGGACCGACCTACCAGTGTTCAGCGACTTTACCGCTCGGCCGCTGGTGGGCTCTTAATCTGAGAGGAAAAGTGCAGCAAACAAAAACAGTTAATATATAGCCTTGTTCATAAAAACAAACGATGGCTTATCGAGAATCTCTGAACTACATCAAACGAAAGCACAGATGTTTTCAGTGTGCTGACAATTCACGGGTATTCATAACTGGCGTTTAATTCTGCTGCTTGGAGAGAGTTTCATAGTCATATACGAGATAATACGTATCGAAATATGGAAAAAACCAGATTATATCATTTTAGAAAATGTTCGATTTTTGTGTCAAATGTCTGTCTTGTGTCAAATTTTGTGTCTATGTTTGAACAATTGTCTATATAAATATAATATATATATACTAAGTCGGGATTTCGAGATATGAAGAACGCAAGTTAAATTTCGGCTCAGATACAGAACTGTCCCTTTTTTGTGAGTGAGTGTCTGTGTGTGTGCATGCATGTAAGATGTACCAACAGACATAGCATCCGCGATTTCGTTTGACGAAGCCATAATTGATTCTTGATAAGCAACACATTGTTTTTATGAATAAGGACATAAATTAACTGTTATTGCTGTATTTTTCTATTCCATTCTACGAAAACTTATTGCACCTGCTTTTAAAAACACCAAGTAGTAGACTATTTTCATTATGTAATCCTGTCTTCAAAAGAAGTGTGTATTTGCTGACACGATATGGTCAGCTGAATAGGATCGACCAAACAATGATAAATTTGAACAGTTAACCTGCATAACGTTTGTGCTCATAAAGTTCTAAACAGAGGTTTCGGTAAAATCGGAATCCTAACCCCTAACAAGGCATTAAAAAGCGATGAAAGCCTTTTTACGAAGTGCAAAAAGCAGGTCGAACACTAATTTTTCCATAAACATCATTTCCTTCATAATTCTATGAAAACGACAGACGCAGTTTTGGCGAGAACTACGCCAAATTTTATGGTTCAATGGTCGTCAACTTTCACGCTCGATGGGATAGCATATAAGTATCAGAATGGTTAGACTTGAACAGGATTGGAGCTTTTTTCACACAATCACTATCAACTTTCATGTTTCGATGGTAGCCACCTTCCACAGTCCAAACCATAACACGTAAGCACAAAAATGTAGTATGCATTTCAAATGACGAATTCAAAATTTTATATTATAAAAAAATATTTTTGAAGTTTTAGAAATTTTATTGGTGAATTCTTCTGTAGAATATTAGATTGCACTTTGAGGTCTATAATTCGCAAATTTAAGACATTTAAACATTTAATATTATTTTACATATTTAAAACAGATTTTAAATTTATTTATATTTAATGGCATTTTTCTGTTAAACAGCCATTGGGCCCAATATAGGATGTATCAAAGAAAACGTAATCAGAGAATGTTCCGAAAAGACCAGAACAGTATTTAGGGCTTACGTAGATTACCTGAATACTACGAGTGAAGAATTTTCCGATGAGGACTGGAAGAGAGCCATGTGCATGTAAATATATTTTATATTCTTCTGTCATGCCTTTTTACTTTCCTAATGTTAACGAAACTAAAAATCAGGTGTTCATGTTAAAAAATACATTTAGTTATATCTTCATTCCGAAGAAGACTTTATGTTTAAATTTCTGCAATTTTATACATTTCATCTAAAGTCCTAGTGCGTAATGTTTCTCACCGAAACAATTTTTGTTTTAAAAATATCTTTTGAGTTAAAGATATATTATTTTGATAGAAATACAAACACTTTGTCTTTTTATTTGTGTGCTCTTTTCTTATATGATTTCTAACTATAAAACTAAAAATGACTTAGTACATTTTAATTCTATGATAGTTACACATTTTATATTGTGGCTTTTATAAGATCTTCCTGAATATAAATAAAAGAAACGGAGGGACATAAAAAAGGCTAGTTGTCGTTATTTATGAAAGATTGACATAACTGTTAGCATAGCTCTACTTCCAACGGTTTTGAAAATAAAGACTGGAATTTGTGAACACAGCTTATAAGCGAGGGACCCCACCCGTAGCTCGCGAGCTACACGTGCACCTTTTTGATTTGGCTCCCGTTGCACATCTGCCCTCTTCTCAGTCTTACGAAGTCAAGTACCAAGGGGAGAAAGGAAAAGTTGAATTCTAAATAGGCACCTCTTTCAAACACTCTATTTTCCACTAGCCTACACTCTAATTTAGCTTTTTTACACTAGATGTCTTGCTGGGCAACTTTGCTGAGTGTAATTTTGACAGTGTCGCGAATCAACAGATATCTGTAAATGTAGCTCAAGTAAGTATTTTTATAAGGATCGTCTTCAACTATTTCTTAAGATATACTGTCAGTTTCATCTTTATAAAGCAATACTCGCGGAGTTGACATATACAAAGGTATTAAAAACTATACAATCGAAATTATACTTCGTCTTCAAAAATTTGTATCTTTAAAAACGAACACTTCACCTGTCATCACTGGCTTTGCTATTGGTTCATATTATTGTATAAGAATGGTGCAGACATTCCAAACGTTTTAGCTACCACTGCATTGCCCACCAGCAGTCATTATGTGCAAAAGAGTTTCGTTATGTACAAATGAAAGTTGTTTCATAACTGTAAATTTTATTTGCGCCAGACCGCTTCAGAATAGATTGTTCAAAGTTCTCTGAATATGGAACTTTACTGAAATAAGATGGCATAATAAGGCGAACGTCCTACAACAAACTTCAGAAATTCTTCCACAGATAAAATAGTTTTTAGAAACTAGAAACGAAACTGTGCTCATAGTTGGTTCTCTGATTTAGAACTCCCTATATACATGACAAAGAAAATGAACTAAGCCTTAAACTTCAAGGTAATGAAGTATAAACACCTTTAACTCAAAGTTGAATTTCTGAATATCCCAAATAAAGAGTGTTTCTGCCCCTTTACGAAAATGGAGAGCTATATAAACAAATAAACGAAAAGTTAAACAATTCAATGCCCGGAAAATACCAACGAGTTAAAAGTAATTTCCAAATTAAAATATCTAATTTTTTAGAAATTCAGCCGATTGCTTCACTCATTTAAAATCCATTTCTTGATATTAATATTTTCGATATATCGTAACAGACTGCAAATTCTACGGCTTTAGAGGTGGAAAAACTGATTTCCAGTATGATCTACAATTTAAAAAGTGATACAATTTAATTTTGTGAAGTATTAAAATCTTTAAATGCATTTTCTGACAAATTGTGTTTTTCGTTACTTTTGATTGTGATTACATTCATTTCTCAAAATGTATTTAAAATATTAAAATGAAATTTTGCCAAAATGTTTTATTCATTTTTAGCTGTGTTCTGTAGCAAAATCTCACCTCTTTGTTTTTATTGATTGATTTTATTGACAGTATTTTAAAGAAAAGAGGATATTTTTTTTTGTTTTAATTTTGAGTTTTTATATCACGTTTGGAATATTTCAAAAAATTTTAAAACTGCAGCAAATCTTTTGCTACAGAAGCATGTTATTTATATACTGTGTAAAAATTATTGAAGTATATTCATTAGAATCTGCTGTAGGAGATGTGGCGTAAATGAAAATTTTCAATACAATTCTTCTAAATATTGCCTCTATTTAAAACATTAATGAAAATTTCTGTAAAATCCCATTTAAATTTATGGTTTTATGTCCCATCTTACTCAAAAACATGTATGTTTAATTAAAATTTTATGCATTTAAAAAAAAAGTGCTTCTTATGCAGGCACATACCTTAAAGGCAAAAGACAAAAAAGTAAATGAATGTATTTACAGTGATATGCATCTGTGCTATTTACAGACAGAATTATAATTTATGTAGAAGCACGGTTATGTTTTATTAGTTCTTATTTTTTTCACTGGGTAGGAACTTCGCCTATGATCTTGCTTGTGCCATCAATGCTGTTTCAGTACCCTGTGGCAGTGCGGTGAAAGATGCTATTCTAGAAGTAAGCCGTCGTATTGACTGGATGGAAAAGAAGGCCATGTGTCCAAGAAGCTTGAGAGAAGAAATTGTTAAAGATATCCCAACGATGGAAATTAGCCTTGCGGAAAAATTGTTAGTCGAAGAGTTACTCTTGGACATCTGAATCAGCAAATGGATGAAACACATACAAGAAGAAATTCGCTTTAATTAATATTTGAGTACATATGAGTACAGAATTAAATGCACTGAATGTATTCTGTAATCACGTTTGATTGCTATGTACTAAATATCTCTTCCTGTTTAAATAAAGTAAGAATATCTGTTAAATAAAATCGTCACTCAAACGTGAAACATGCATAAAAAAGCCGGTAACCTTTTTATGTATATTTCACTTTTCTGCTACCATCTAATCCATGTGAAAGAGCTCCATTTTCCCGAAAAATCTACTCTCTTGCTGAAGATAAGATAAAAAGAATGATGTTAAAATAGCAAATCTTGACAACACACTAGAAACGAAGTGTTGTCCGTAAAGAATACGCGACAGGGGCGCTACTGCGGCAACATATGGCATTTCATTGTTCCTTCATGCTGTACGATTTCCCTTATTTCGCATAACAGATTGTTAGTCGAAATAAAATACTTAAAATAAAGTTTGACACCTTTAATGAACCTCTTATTTTGCCCTCACATTTCCTCGCCAGGATGCAAATTTAAAGTTAAATAAAGTGAACATTTACGGGTGAATCTTGTAGTTTATTCAGAACCTCTTTTCACCCTTTTTGGCCATTTAATAAGTATAACGCCGGGTAGGGTGTTGAGTCAACCTAGTTAGCCTTAACTTAAATTGTTAGTCCAACACTACTCTTTATCTTTTGAATTTATTGTGTAACGATTCTTAGGTTCCACCGCAGGTTGTCGGTGTTATTGCAAGCACGAAGTACATGCCTTTTCTGTTCAGAGTTCAACGAATACGAAAGGGTTATTTTTACCCATCTTTTGTGCTGGTATTCTTTACGCCTGTACAAGAAGTCAAAAGGGTCCTTAGTAGGATCTAGCTACTAAGTGTTAAAGAAAGTACGAGTTTGTGTTAAAGAAAGTACGATCCTACAATGCTTACGACTTAGCGAAATACTTTTCTTTAGTTCTTACCTAAGCAAATTGCAAGGCAAACAGAACGTTGTTATTACAACATGCATTAGCGGAGGTGAGATATGACAATGATTAGAATTTCAGCGCAGACGCACATCACGCGCGCCCATGGCGCCACTTCAATGCACTATTTAAGGCTTGAAGGTTTCGACGATTACAAGTTCGGCAATTGTGCTTTTCTTGTGGTTTTTTTCAAAAAAAAAGGATCAATTATGCCTTGTAATAAAATGCGATCATCATTTGATCAAGTATTCGAGCTCGACAGAGGAAGGATAGTGACCTACCAGGAGTGTAGATTATCTTTCAGGGAAATCTGTAGTCGTGTTGGACGAAACCAAACAACTGTAATGCGGATATATGACTGTTGGATGCAGGAGGGTACTACGGGCCTACGTGTTCGATCGCATCCACCTCAGTGCACCATTTCACGTGATGACAGGAACATTGTGCGCATGGCAGTGACGGATCGCTCAGTCACATCACGAACCATACCACAGCACATTCAGTCTCTAACGCATCATCCAGTGTCTGCGCGTACCATTCGACGCCGTTTACAGCAGAGTGGTCTGTCCCGAAGACGTCCTTGCTTCGTCTACTTTTGACGCAGACCCACAGACGTCTCCGCCGCCAAAGATGCGATAAAGAAGGATGTGGACGGCAGAATGGAATGAGTCTTTACTGACGAGTCACGCTTTTGTCTGCAACTCCACGATGGTCGAATTCGAGTCTGGAGACACCGTGGAGAGAGGATGCTGAACAGCTGCGTTATGCACCGCCACACTGGTCCTGCACCGGGTATTATGGTATGGGGTGGTATTGGATATCACTTTCGCACTCCTCGAATACGCATTGCCGCTACATCCCCGAGGTGTTGGAGGCAGTTGTCCTTCCTTACCTTCAGGGCTTGCCCACAGCCATATTTCAACAGGATAATGAGCGACCACACGTGGCACGCATTGTCCAAGGGTTTATCGTCAATCGCCAGATTGAATTTGCTTCCCTGGTCGACTCGCTGTCCGGATCTTTCGCCGATAGAAAACATGTGGTCCATGGTTGCTGAACGATTGACCCAGATTACATCCCAAGCTGCCACACCAGATCAAATTTGGCAATTATCCACTACATTCTAGACACAGATTTATTGCTTTATATTTTAGTTTATTTTCCTTCTTTAATGCAAACTTCCTTTGGAGACTTTGCACATTGCTTTCAATCAAATGCAACACTTTACGAAATTAAAGGGCAAATGTATGTCATCAAAGTCCCGCACACTTAAGGATATGTGCCGTATATTCTGGTGTATAACCTGCGCTGTGAATGCAAAAAATAAGATCGATATCTACGGGTGCGCGTAAGACGCCGGCTTTAAAAATGCTTGATTTAAAAGTAAGGAAAAGATGAGCATACCAAAAAATTAGGTTTCTACAGGTACCTTAATGCTGTTCATTTGAAAGAAATGACAAGCCTTATGATCTTAAGTTTCGTAATTTGATAGCATGAAAATTGCCTTATATTCGTCTTCAATTGTATCTACAGGTACATCATCGAATTATGTTTATTCTTTACCATCACTGCTACTCTGATCTATAAGTAAGCTAGCGGAAGTAGTCGATGTCAGTTAAGTTAGGTTGAGATTAATGTAACCTAACAACAGAGAGAACGATACCGCTGCAATCCTTCTTTAATAAGGATTTTTCAGTTTGATGCAATATGGAACCCACCTGTAAAATTTCGATAGATAAATAAATTAATTTTCTCTCATTATATCAGCAACAATGGCACGCACTTTTTAATGATTTTCGTCTTTCTAATCTAATGGTCGTAAAATCTCAAGTTCCATCCAATATTTCACCTATATTCCATTTTAGTCGATTCAGTGTAGCAAAACATTTATCATAATTGATCAGAAATCAATAAAGCGAACAAACAAAAAAAACACATAAATCGGAATTCTTTATATACATAGATTTCGTAAAACTTAACAAAGATTTTATTAACAAACTCTACGATTTGAAAGCGAGCTTTAGCAACACTTTTCGAAATGAAACATTTTTGTCTCCAAAGATTGAGACTGTTGCCACTCGAAAAAAATGGTTTCAGAGTTTTTAATTAATATCTCGGGCGATTAAATTCGTACGAAGATGGGAATAGTCGGAATGGTTTCTCACGAATTTTTAAAATCGGGAATAATGTATTTAATGTATGATATGCTGTTTTTATTTCGTTGTAAAATAGATTGGAAGATGAGACCAAGGGATGCAGTAAGTCCGTTGGTCTCATCTTCCAATCTATTGGCTTTTTATTAAATCAGTAATATCAAAAATCATACAAATGATTTAAAATACAGATAATTTTATATTCCACAAAATAAAATTAAACTTCATTTTAAAAATACCACACATATTATCAGACACATTTTTTTCCATATTTCGATTCTATGACTCAAATTATGCCAACTGTCAAGTTTTGTAAAAATCGCAGGAGTAGTTTTTAAAAAATTAGCTCTCAACTTTAGCTCCTCCATGTTAATTCAATTTGGTATATATTTATTAATATCCCTTTTTTTATTAAACTTACTTGATTCCTTCTGCCAGAATTCGAAATTTAGGGTTAATCCAAACACAATTCGCACATTTTTATGATTTATTTTTTTAATTTGTATTTAAAAAAAAAAATTATTAATTTTTCGAAAGCATTTTTGTATTATAAACTATAACATTTTTGATATCATCTTAAAGTAGACGTATTTCTAGGCACACCTGCAAAAAAGTAAAGATTTTATTCAACATTTTCTAAGATATACATCAGTTTACATATTAGCCCGTTTTGAAATTTGTCATCTTATTTTGAGAGATAATAACGCCAAATGGGGTTTACGCACTTTGTTAAAATTATTTGAAAGTATGAACGATGACCTTTTTTGCCGTTCGCCAGTTATTAAAAATGGGAAAGGAAAATAGGCTGCTATAAATTAAGAATTTCACCAAGTAAATTATGCTTGGCGCAAACTGAAAAATGCGCAGAGATAAATTTTTAAATTTCTCCGTACATTTCGCACCAAATTTTGCAAAATTTAATATTTAGGCATAATTTGAGTCGTAGAATCGAAATATGAAAAGAAATTCGCATGTAATTTCAGAAAATGTCTGATTTTGTGCTAAAATACCTATGTTAGAATGATGCTTTATATATCCTAAGTCGCGCTGTCGAGACATGGAAAACGCAATTTGAACGGGAGATATAGAAGTGTCTTTTTTTTTCCTTGCAGTGTACCTGAAAAACCAAAACGGACAGCAGAGGCAGCTTTTCGACTACTTACCGGGCATGATTGCTTGGCTGCTCATCTGTGTCTCCCTGATACTACTTGCCGCCTGTTTGAAAAAAACGAACCTATGGACCAACATCACATACATGTTTGCGAGACGGCGATGCCTCTAGATACTGGGAGGCAATAACCTCAGGTTATCTCTACGACTACCACTACTTTACTATGACCGAAATATTGCACAAGGAAACTTTGCCGGCTCTGTGTGACCTAATGCCGAAACGCACATGACATAAAAAATTCCAGACATCTCGATGGAGAAATCGTGTGCATCTCGATGGAGAAATCGGGGGCATCTCGATGGAGAAATCGGGGGCATCTCGATGGAGAAATCGGAGGCAAGGGGAAGATGGAAAAAGGGGTCTAAGATGGTCGAAAGTCAACAAGGATAATCTGGCAAACAATCCAAAGAGAACTGGACAAAGAGCAAAACTAGTAAAATACAGAATAAAGGTCACAATATACATATTACAAGACACAAATTACACAAAACCAGGATACTATACAAATCCAAGTTTCAACAATCATGAAATTCTTTCATTTGCTAAAAACAAGTATTCAAAGTGAAATTTGACAAATATTATATACAGAAGCAACCACGACTGAAGAACCTTTTAAGTTACAAAATTCTGATCACCATTGATGATGATATGAGCAGCTAGAGTGCGATCGTTCTGTCTCAGTGTAGAACTTCGTAGTTAAACACTTGTGAGTAATTTGCAAGGTCACATGAGATGGCGTTGTTTGAAGAAATTTTCATTTGTTCTTCTTAGGTAGTCAGCTATAGTCTCAGATTTTAGGTCTAGGTAATAGAATCGCTGCGAACTAGAAAATAAGCATCTATTATAATACGTACAA